TCCATAAGTAAATTATATTTTCTAAAATTTGACTTTATATATATTTATCGACTTGTTTGATCTCATTTTTTAAAATATATTTTCATCCATCTTCTTTTTTATTCGACATTTATCAATAAAATAATATTATACGTAAATCAAAAAAAATTTCTTATTTTTAACCGCATTTTTTATCAATTTACTATTACAAAATGTAATCTTTTCGACTCAAACAAGTCGTATATCTAAATTTACTTTCTAAAAACTGTAATTTTGTTAATAAATTCTTTGATAAAAATCATAGTTTAAGATTAAATTTGTTTGTATGGTCAAAAATGCGAACCCAGAACATGACTTTTAGCCACCGGAAAATCAGGTGCATGAACCAAAAGGAAACAATTATAAAATGAAAATGGTGTACAGTCGAACCTGTAAGAGGCCGAGATGAGTAGAGGATAATCGTCTTCAAATTGGACAAGAAATCTTATTCAAAATGATTTTTTGACTTCTATTTTGTTATCATTACTCGCGTTTCAGTACAAGGCTGTTATGATTAAGATAGGGAGTCATTGCTCTTGTTTGTTCACTATTCTCTCACATTCTACTACATTATTTTTTTCTATGGTATTCATTTTCAATCACACTTTTCATTAAAATAATATTATACGTAAATTAAAAACTGTTCTTTATTTTTCAATCAGACATTTTTCATCAATTTACTATTTCAAAATGTATTTTTACATAAAAAAAGGCTCCCGAACACCCTCATATATTACAATATTATCTTTATTAAATTAATTCATTTAAACAATATATGTCCACACCATTTTCTATAATTTTTAAATTTTAGAAAAAGTACCATATCAATCACATTACGTTCCGAAATTAATCTTATTAACTTCATTCAGTTAAAAAATATATATCCATAAAATTCAACCAAAAAAAAATATTTTTATATAATAAAATTGCATATATAAAGCTCATATCAAATTGGTATATCCAACCTCTGAAGGCAGCCCAGACTAATATATTATGCTATTTTGCAACAAATTACGTACTTACCTCTAGAAACAATTATGACCAAAACTAAGGCTTTTTTCGCCCTTGTGCTAACAGTAAATAACATAAGTTTTAATAAATTTTTACAATGAACAAAATTTCAATCACCTTTTGTGCATATCTCCTCTTCTCGTAATAGTTCATCGTATGTTGATGCGTCCTACGATAAAAGCATAGTGTCAAATAGAGTCATCGACCTAAATTCAAAAATAAAAGATAATCCTCACATTTTCAAAATCTTCTTGATATATTACTACGTGTTTGTAATTGATCTAATTGTATTTCTTCCCTCGTTTGTTTTGACTTTAGTTAAAGTATATATTTTATGAATATTAGAACTTTAATTAAACTAAAGAAATTAATACAAAAGATCTAAAAGCATTTAATATGATAAATATTAATGGATGAATTTAGAGTGATATATTTTGTTCGGTTTTATTCTTGTCCATTTAAGTAATTTAAGATAAAAAGATAGTATAATTTTTTAAAAGTTGATAGATACATGAGAATGATAAATAAATATGGCGGTCAATATATGGATATTTGTTCTCTCTTGTTCACGTGGATTATGCCACGTGGCAGCAAGGCAGTGGAAGCTATAATTGTGCTAGTTGAGCACAAATCCTGTCAAGGTTATGTGTATAATGGGGTCATCCGAGCCGTTCACTCGGATATAACAAGAAGCTACTAGTTGAACTTTAATACTTTTCAATCGATTGATTTTACTACTTTCTTCTTTGAAATCTCTCCAGTTGTCGATGATTATCTTTCTTCTATTTTTGTTTGAGAGTTAGGTTAGATAATACGAAAGTTTGAAGAATCATTATATTTTCTCGATTTAAATTTGTTGGATGATTTGCCGGTATAATTTCAAGTTGATTAATGTTCGTGCGAATCACTTAGTTTAGCTTCAAAAGAAACACATGTCAATTTGATTTAAACAATTTAGCCGTATCAATACATAAAATTGAAGAATAATAATAGACTTGCGGACACGTCAAAATCTGATCCGAGAAGATCACGTAGCCGTAATTAGATAGCATGAAATCATTTCTTAACTTTAATTCCTCACCAAAAAGTCTAGGCCCTGTAGATTAAGATCAAATTTTTGGCAAATTTTATAAAAAAAAAAAAAAAATTGATGAAATATTTGATCAAAAAGTTATGAACCCCATGAAACGAGTGATTAAAATTAATTATTAAAATTAACTTTAATAAAAATCAAAATTTCAATTTTTATCAAACAGGGATAGAATTGATAGAATTGAACTTCGTGATTATCTTGAGGAGATTGTTTTAGGATTCTATTCCTATAAATGGAAAACATTTACAAATATAATCTATGTAGTAAGTATTAAATAAAATTAAACAATATGATAAGTAAAATTCTATAAATATCTTATTATATAATATTTTACAGCGTGATTTACTGATCAAGAAATTTATTTAATAAAGATGTATTGGGAGTCGAGGTTCTATGATCATTTCAAGAGGGACCTTTGGATGTGTGGTCAATCCATATATCTCCTCTAAGCATACATCTTGGGGCTTAATATTCTGAGGCAATTTCCAGTTGAATCCATGTAACAAGTTGGCCAACGTTGAACGAACAATCTTAAGTCCCAAATTGTACCCGGGACACCTCCGACGACCCGACCCGAATGGTAATAGAGCAAAATTTTGTCCTAACATGTCAATTTTCTTGTCCAAAAACCTTTCTGGCAAGAATTGTTCCGATGCATCCCAAAATTTGGGGTTCCTTCCTATGCTCCACACGTTTATTAGGACCGTGGTTCCTTTAGAGATATCGTAACCTGTTGGTCAAAAAAATTCAAATATAAACGTATATATTAGTTTAATAATATAAGCTTTCAAAAATACTAAGTTCAAGTCACGTAGTTACACAGTAATGAAACTTGTATGTGTGAGCTAAAAAATAGAGTGTTTTGAATTTGATGAAAAAAATGAATTATCTCCACACTTTATACAGCGTTGATGACCAAATTTAAATTCTTTAGACGGTACAGTTAGACTTAACCTGATACATTGCAGTCTTCAATGGCAAAATGTGGAGCGAGCAGTGTAGCAAGTGGATGTAGTCTCATGGTTTCTTTGATTATAGCTTCTATATAAGGCAATTTGGGGAAGTCATTTTCTTCCACCCATCTTTCTCTTCCTATAACTCTGTCAAGCTCTTCTGTTGCCTTCTCAATTATGTGTGGTTTTTTAATGATTTCATGAAATGCCCATTCGACTGTGGTTGATGAGGTGTCTGTGCCACCTGCTAGTAGGTCCTGTCACAATTTGGAGAAGTGAAAATTTTAGAATTAATACACTTTTTCCTCTCTTTTTTTGGCACCTTAGTGTTGTCAGAAAATCATTGGCTGTAGAAATTGTGTTTGTTCAAACCGTCTAATGAGGAAGTGATACGTGGTAGGATATCAACTAAGGTGTAAAAAATAATGCACACTAAGCTTGATTGAAAATTTTGTTACAGAATTTCTCACTGGAAAAGATGATACAATTTTCCCTGTAAATACCTGCATTAAGCCCTTGACACCATCCCTTGTTAGTTTAACCTCAAGATTAGGATCCTCAGAAATCTGCAATAAAACATCTGCCATGTCTTTAGGGACAAAATCCTTGACATTTGCATCCCTTTTAGCCTTGTGATCATCGAGAACATATTCGTGAAATCTGTCGAATTTTTTGTACAAATCCTTCATTTGCTTAACATATCCCTGCAAGTCCAAGAAACTTAACCAAGGTATCCAGTCTCCAATATTGATCACACCATTCAGCAAAAACCACTGGTCTAATAACCCTTGAAGTTCATCTAGCGTTATTATGGAACCCTGGTCATCAAATTTTGATTCACTGAAGTATTTGTTGCTTAGTACCATCCTCGTTATAGATGAGAGACTAAAACGAGATAATTGTTCTCTCAGCACAATTGGCTTCCCTGAGAGAGCATAAATAATTATCAAAAACAAGAAATTAAGCATTGTTCTCAATGTATATAGTTTATGTAAGAAGATTATGCATGTTGCTTAACTTTAAAATCTTATTCTACTCTCAACGCATGTAATTTATATATTTTGAACTTCGACAAAATACTTATTTACTAATGAATAAAATTACTTCTAATCTAACTTTTTAAGCTTAGCAAATCATTAATCTCACTACTCTTGCGATCAACTTACCGCAACCATTCACTCGAACTTCTGAAAGAGCATAAAGACGAGAAAGAAAATTATGCCTTTCCTCGATACGAATATATTCATACGAGTCGAGTCGTTTAGAGGAAAAGATCTCCGTAAGATAAATCTTTCGAGCCTGTCTCCAGTATGATCCATAAGGCGCCCATGTCACATCTGAGAAATTATAACTGGTATACCTACCAGCAGCCAGTGCAGGCCGAGAAGCAAAAACTGTATCGTGTGTTTTAAGGAACTGTTTGGCCATTTCAGGTGATGAAGCAACCAAAACTGGATAAGAACCAAATTTAAGTTGCATTATTTCTCCATATTTTTGGGATAATAAGTGGAGAGATTCGTGTGGGATTGAACCAATAAGTAGGTTTAGGTTGCCAATGATAGGCCATGGTTTAGGGCCTGGTGGAAGGTTCTGTTTAGGACGACGATAATGGATTATATTTGAAATAATTATGACTAAAAAAGCTAGCCATGTAAAGGCTGAAACCAACCAAGAGTCCTCCATTTTTGGTTGTGGATTATATACAGATTGCGGTGGGAGACGAGGCTACTTATAGTTGGAGCTAATTTGAAAAGGTTGATATTTCTGTATTAGATAACGATGCAAATTTTCCGAGAGATTGCTATTGATATTCAGGCTCTGTCGTATGTGGAAAAGGTGGACTAGCACAAGACGATAGAACAGTAGCGGTGCAGACATTTGGAGTTGTCGCACAATTAAATTTGTTAAAAAATTACAAATTTTTTTTATGTATTCTACAAAAACACATATACATAATCACTATCATAGATTCACAAATATCATATATACGATAAATAACAATTCCCAAAAAAATTCAAATAATTCCACATATATGATGAATAACAATTTTTAAAGAATTTTCAAATTAAATA